GAGAGTACGCAATTGCTCTTTCCCTTTTGAAAGCTCCCTCTTGCCTCATTTGTATCTTGGCTTTAACATCTTCCAACGTCCCTCTGCTGTCACACCATCCTTCCTGCAGATTTAGTTAGAGACAACACCACACCACACATAACAGAAACACAAGCTTGCATGAGTGAGTTAGATACCTCAGCTTGCTTCAAAAGTTCAAGCTTGCCGCGTCTCTCATTAAGAATGTTCTGCACGGCTTGGCCCTCTATGGACATCCTCACACGACGAGCTCTTACTCGAGCCTGAACTCGAACCAAGGCCTGCATGCACCTCAATGTCACCGCAGCCTGCTTCCTCACCTGTCTTCCCCTCACAAGAGCTTGAATCCTCACCACTCCCTTCAATGCCCTCAGAGCCCTTCTTGCCTGCAATCATCGCCACACAACTATTAATACTTATTCAGTTGAAAGATCCCACATTGACTAGTAATATAACTATAATGGATGGAAAGTAGTTATTGAAAGGATGAAGATCTGGACCAAGAAGGCACGGAAAGCGGTTTGGATCCTTATAGCGGCCCATTCTTGCTTAACTAGTCTGAAATCCTTAGGTGGAGCTCGAACCACAGTGGCTACTGCGGCTGTGAAAGCATCTGAAACAACAGGTGGAGAATCAGAACCTTCAGAAGCTGCTTTGTGGCTTCCTTTGAAACCCTTCCAAGAACCCATGTCCCCGGAAGAACTCCTCCATAGCCTCCACTTCTTGCTCTTACCACCCTCCTTCACCTACACATATAAACCAAACAAATCATAAAAAAATAAAAAAAACAAAAAAAAAAAAAACAGACACCAGTTTGGATACATTAATAACTAGGTTACATGTTCATCTTTCTCTGGTTTCTTGAGTCCGATCAATGCCTTAACCCACTTTCCTGAGGCACCCATCACGAAGCAGGTGTTGCTGCTTGGCTTGAATGAAGTGAAGTCAAATAAAAGCCAAAGTTTTGTTTAAGCCAGTGATGTTGGAGAGAGAGAGAGAGAGAGGGTCGTGAAGGGGTGTATTGTGTAATGTAATGTAAGTTGGCGTTAGGATATTTGAAATTCAAAACGTGCAACGGACAAAGGGGTGTTGACGTTGTTGGTCCCGCCACCTCAGACCTCACGTTGTGGTTCAGTTCAGGGTTTGCGTTTTGATGTGGTAGGGTCCAGTGCCTTTGGGAAGGGATGTAAAGGCATAAAAAGGCACAAAGCCTTTGGTGTGTAGTACCTGAAAAGTGAAAAGTGTACGACTCTCAGAAATAAATACTAAATAATAAATAAATAAAAGAGAGGGACAATTAGGCAAACAGAGAGTGAGTGCTGCTGAGAGAGATCTGGCACTCTGCTATGGTATGGACCCGTCAGCCTCACTTTTTCTCTTAAAAATTACCAAAAACAAAACAAAAATGGCTTCTGTTTGTCTCGCAGGAGAAAACAACGTTACAGAAGCAGATTAATTGCATCCACTTCGCCCTATTTAATTGTATCCACTAATTTAATTATCTGTTTCAAAATCAAATTTGGTTTCAGTTACTAGCTGTACCTCCTATGTCTGTTCCATTCATTTATTCATTGTATGTATGTTTGTCTTTCATCACTTAGAAGCTTCCTTCAATCTACTCTTTCTTTATAAAGCAACTTATTGACTAATAAATGTATTTCTCTTTCAATTTTTTTAGAGGAAGGTTCAACGACACCGGTATAACTTTTACTAAGTATTACACTGTTCAATAACTTTATATTAAATGTGAATTTTGAAAATTCAACCGTTAGATTGAAAGTTCATATCTTTTAGATCATATATGTCAAATTTTGTTAAAATTGAACAACAACTTGAAGGTATTCAAAGTGTTCATATTTTAGTATATTTTGAAATGTATATATTACGTCAATTTTGTTTTATAAGAATGAAGTATCAAATAATCTTAAATTAATATAAAATTTGATATATATGATCTAAGAGATATGAACTTTCAATCTAACAGTTGAATTTTTAAAATTCACATTTAATATAAAGTTATTGAGCAGTGTAACATTTAGTAAAAATTACACCGATTTCGTTACAAAATCCTTTTATACAAATCTTCTTATTTATCGAAAAAAAAAACTATCAACAAAATTTAGTACAATTAATACGTAATTGAGTTTTTTTTTAATATGCTGACACGGGTATATTTCTTTATATAAGACAAAGACTATCGTTTCTACAGAAATGACAAAAAAAAAGGTTAATTTCACTTTTATTTTTTAATACTTTTAAAATTCAATTTTAGTCTCCTTAATTATTTGTTTTTGCATGATCTTTATCTCCTACTATTTTAATTTAACATTTAATATCTACTAAAATGCCACCAATGCATTATCATGTCAATATTTTTATGAACATTCCTACAACCTCGAAAGTCAAAATTTCATCCGAATTATTAAAAAAATTATTATTTTTTAATAAATTTACTATAAAATAATTATTTTATAATAAATTTATTAAAAAATAATAATTTTTTAATGATTCGGACGATATTTCAGATTTCGCTTTCGGAGGATTAAGCATTTTCCTATTTTTATTAATACTATTAGACATCAAATCAATAAAACGACTAAAGTTCTACGGTTAAAATAATAGAAAGACTAAATTTGGAGGAGGATTAAAATCAAAAGTTAATAATAATATATTAAAAGAGTAATTAAGCTAGAATAATATTTATAATAGTTTATTTTCGGGAGTTAATATTTGAAGACTCACAGATTACAAACATTCCATAAACACGTCTTTTTCAAGAAGTAAATATTATTTTTCTTTTTTAGAAATTATTTTTCATAGGTTCGTAGAAAGTAACATGAAGAGGATCAAAGTTTAAATTTTGGCATTTTGGGTGTTAACGAGAGTGGGATTGGCCTTCCTTGTGTTCCATTCAGAAGTAATGAGTAATATTTAATTTAAAGAGGCATTGTGTTTTTTATGTTTTGTCTTTCTTCTTTGGTGTTGAGGAGCATTCCAATGGATCAGCGACAAATAAAGTAATTGAAAAAAATGTACAATTTGGCTCCTACTCTTTTTTTTTTTTTTTTATCGCATTTGCAGGGATTTTGATTTTGGAATTCGAAATGCAATGACCAGTAATTTCCATCCTCTGTGTTTTCGATAACAGTGAAGCATTCATATTCGCATCTGCAACCAAGCGTCTATGTCTATGCACTGTTCTTAGGAATCCAAAGACAATCCAAATCCAACGACTCAAATAAATTAATAATAAACTAAAATGCTGCATTCACTTTACTGTACACCCAATGTTTGATTGGTTGCTTAAAATTCAAAGGCCAATTTGAATCCCTGGAGTGACTTCCAACACTGCTTAATTAATGGACAAATTTAATCTTGCTTAGTTACACTTACAATTAAATTTTCAGCTTCATGTTTTGTGTAATAAAAATTTACATTAGAAGACAGTATAATTTCATAAAACTAAATTTAATTCTAATTAAATACTACTAACATAAAAAATATTTACTAATAAAACTCCATCTTACTATGTTCTATCTTATCGTCATTTTGATTTCAAACTGGTATTTGGGGTGTTTCATTTCCTACTACAACTAATAAACATATTTGGTTTGATGTAAATCATATACGCTTCCAACAATATATGACAATTTTCATTTAAAACTGAGATTGGGTATAATTCGTTTCTAAAGTGTTACTTGGGTTTAATATACATCACCAAGAGATGAAGATCTGTTACTGTTGCAACTAATCAAAATGGAGTTGTAAATCATAGACGCATGTTATACATAACTAGGAGAGTTTTAGCCACACTCCTATATTAATTAAAATTTATTAAAAATATAAAATTATGAACAAAACCTGTTAAATAAAAATTGATATTTATACTTTTTTTATAATTCTAATAAAATTCAGCTAATTAAAAAAAGTCATTTAAAAGAATATATTAAAAAAGTATATTACTGTCATTTCTGTATACATAAATTTAGAAAATTTACCTTGCAGTAGCTTTTTATTAAACCAACATCATCATATATTTAGAACCTTATTTTATAAAGGTTTTGTTTTGTTTTGTGTTTTTTTTCATTCTGTTTCAAACTGGCAGCTCGTGAGCTGGTAAAACATCATGGCAACTGGAAACAGCCATTTTTTTAAGGGTTGAAAGAATAAAAATAAAAAAAAAGGAAAAAAAGTGGTATGCAGTGGTAAACATTCCAAGGATGAATAAAGTGAAGGAAAAGTAGGAGCAAAAACAAAGAATTGGAGACAGATAGTCAACGGACGAGGTCACGCATTTCTTGTTTTCCAATTATTCTTTCAGTAATCGACACGCCTCTCTCTCTTGCCGACTTGCTCACTGTAATAATCAAAACCAGTTAATACTTTCTCATTTTTTATAAATTACATTTCCATCATTTTCATATTTATTTATTTCTTTAGCTGATTAGGTTATTTTACTTTCAAAATGCAATTTCCACTTTTTAAATTAAAGTGTTTCAAATCTTTTAATATTATTAATTCACTTCTAAGCGATCTTAATAAAAAAAAATTATTTTTTAATTCTTAATTTTTATTCTTAAAACTCTTGTTAACAATATGTAGAAGCTGGTTGAATAAACTTTTCTAAATCACTTTTAAGAGAGAACACAAGAAGAAAAAATAAATTAAACTGTTTAAAAAATTAAAAATAAGTTTTTAAAAAATTAATAAGAGAAAAGTTAATTTTAAAAAATAATTTTATTTTTCTTTCTGATTTTGCTCTCCTAAAAAAATGTTCTTAAAAAAATTTACCCAAACAAACCCAGATTTACTGACCATGTTTTTGAATCCCACATTAACAACGATATCTAAATTATTTTGAAACAGGATTTCCCCTTGATAAAATTCCGAGATAAAAAAAAATGTTGACAAGCTTGTTTTACACAATCAATTTCCACTCTATGAACTGTATATCATAATTGAAATTAAACAGTACAAGATTTTTAAACACTAACTCAATTTTATCTAAGTTATTTTAAACACTATATCAATGTCCACTCTATGAACTACCTTGAATTAAATAACTTTTTTAAGTGTTAAAAAAATCTTCTCTTCTCTACATTATTTTTATCTAGCCAAACATAAGATCAGTGCTTAAATGCTTCAAATTGTTTGTAAGGGTGGTCCAAGTAGTTTGGGGAGAAGGATTTAGGATTGAGTGATTAAGAGGGTGTGGGTTCGAATCTCCTCACTAACAACTAACAAACTAACCATTAACATTTGTCGTTCAAAAAAAAAAAACATGAATAATGTAGCACATTGTCAGACTGGCTCCTGTAACGATCAGACCATGTGTGGAGTTGGGAAAAGTGAAATCGATAAATCTCAACCACCCAAACCCCGTGGCGTGCAAAACGAAAACAAAAAATAGCAGATAATGGTAGACTTACATCAGGCATGAGCATGGTCATAAATATTCACAGTATAAAATATAAATAAATAAATATGCGCTACCTTGTGCTTTGTTAAAGACATAAATAAACATATCGTACCGTGCGTACATATACATCTCTTTTAATATTATTATACACTTCAAATACGATTTTCATGATGATTCCTGCGATTAACTAGAATGTACAAATACGACCCCAAGTGTTCTAGACTTGACCGCAATAACAAGCATTTATGTTCATGCAGAACATCTCTTAGCAGTTAGTTATTCATGGACATATATAATCAGGAATAGAAATTTCAAAGGGAAATAAGTAACTACCTTCGTGTTGTATCTATAGTATAGTATAAATCTATACAAGTTGCATTTTGAGGTTAAACAAATAATGAGTAGCACTGTGAAGGAACTTTCCAGATATGACAAACAAACTTGCATCAGTTGATATAATCACAAAGGTTTCGTCAAAAAATAATATGTAGAAATCATATGCAGTAATACTCAATAAGAGATATTCCTGTAAGATTAGAGTCTCAATTAGAAGGTGTCATTGTGACTTGTTATTGCCATCACGGTTGAGCACTATCATGCTGCCGAAACTGATCGAGACTTTTGTTGAGGTGGTACGCCAAGCCAACTCTTCATCATGTCATATGTGGTGAAACTAATTGCGGCTGAAGGAACAATCTGTGAACATAGCAAGTAGTGTTTAAAATAGAACCTTCATAGAACCAAAAAGAAAGCATAGATGCTACCAACAAAATGGATGGGAATGCTCAACGCAGCCATAACAATGTCAGGAATCAATGAGTACCAATCGCACAAAGCTCTAAAATCAATGCACATTATTTGTGTAGTTTATGAAGTTCGATAAAGAACCTTAGTCACTATCACCATTCACTCAACCATTATTTTCAGTCCCTAGGTTGTTATCAAATAGAAGAATTGGTGTTCAACAGGATTGGTCATATGTTTACTTACTGTCCAATGTTATACAGTGACATCATATTTCACATCCAATTCATTCAGCTCCATGAAAACCAACACTAGGAAAGATAGCGAAGTTTTGCACACTCCCAAACAACATAGCAGTGAGTCGTATAGAATTTGGATATTAAAATATCCCAAAATTTAGTAAAAAAGAGAAAAGAGAAGAAAAAAAATAGCATTTTTTTAACACATCATAGAAAGAAGCTTTTGACAGCAAGTTGATCTGCTTGTGATAGGCAATGCAAATAACAGAAGTTGAAACATGTGAAATAGTAGTATAAAACTCGGCTCATATAAAGTTCGCTATGATAAGGTGAACATTACCCTTATATAGTTAATGCTTACGCCATGAAACAGCTGCCTCCACCCTTGATTACGAGCAATCTTCCTAAGTCCATCAAATGTATTTTTGAATCTGTCTTCCTCATGAGCAGCATTTTGCAGGCTGGCAACCTGCATAAACAAAGAGAAGTGTAAAAAGCTTCGAGAAAGGGACTTTTGGTAATACTACATAGTTATAAAACTTGAATACGACCTAAAAGGTCTCTAGCATCAATTTTTATAACTAGCAAAATAGTGCAGAACTAATTTGGCTAGACACCCACCCTAAACCACCAATAAAGGGAAAATTTTATCCAACTGAGGAAGACATAAAAATTAAGCTTTAAGTACCTGCATCTGTCTCTTGACAACATCTAAAGGGTATGTTAAAGTCTGCCCGAACAATCCAGCTAGAGCTCCACAAGAAAGACGCATCAAAATGGACTTCTGATGTTCTTCAGGGACATGAGTCTTCAGTTTCTCATACATGTAGAACTTTAAACCAGCATAGGGAAGAATTCCGGTAAGTGTTGGTCCTAAGGAAAATAAAAGGGTAAGTTTTCAATCAATGTACTGAGAAAACAGGACAGGGCAATAAAATGCAAAAGATGATAACCGAGACATTTCATAAGAAAATATTATCTCTACAAACATGTATTCCCTCCGAATTCTCCAGTAACCAATTATGATTTCCATGCTTAAAGATTGTCTTGGTATACGTATATCCTGTGACATACATACCTGCACCCCTATAAAGTCCACGAACTCCCCCTTCCTTATAAACACTTGTAAGCACACCTTTAATGCCATTATTTGCAGTTTGATATTGAACTCCTTTCACACCATCTTTGATACTTCCTCTCGTGTCTGCCACCTATAATATTTTAAACAACATAAATAATAAATATTATTATATACAGTATGCTACAAGAAATTCTTTCCTCGGAAAATATCCCCCTATAACTAAAGCATCAAAAAAATAAACATGTATTACTTACATGGATAATAAGTCCAAGAAGAGCAATCAATTTTACAGGTTCACCTAATATATAAATGGCAAATGCTCTATTGCATAGCCACAACTAATAATGTTAGGATCTTAATTTGGTGATTGTTTCAAATTTACGGCAGATATCAAATTTGTCAATGGAATATTGTAAGGAAAAAGTTGTCAATTGAAATTCCAGGTGCTCCAAACTATTCAAAAAAGTATGACAGTTCCTCAAAGAGATTAAAAACTAAACAGAACTAATAATACATTCCCTCTATATATTTGCATGAATCAATGTTTCTTCAAGCTAATCTTATCAATTTTTATTCCATGCAGATTTGCTTTCAACATAAAACCATTGCATTTAATATTTTCCTATATTAATTGGGAGAGATTCACCCAAAAAAAATATAAAAAAATAACCAGGGAGTTATCAAACACCATTAGGGATGGCGTCTTTTAACAAATTCAAAATTAACAAAAAAGTATATTAATAACATTAAATAAAAGACAATAGTCATAGTCGTTTATATATGTACATACAAGTATATAAAATAAATAATAATTTTATCATTTTTAATATACAAGGACCTGGCAAGAAGGGGTATGATCCTTGTCTCCGTTCTCAAATATGCTTTGGGGGAATTTTTCTCCCAATCTGAAGGGGGAAATCTCCAAAATTGGGACCATGTGAATTGGGATCAAGATACCATGTTGTTTCATACTTCATAGTGCATCTTATATTCTTATTAGTCCATGCTGAAGCATTCTATGAATACCAGAAAAGTTTTCTTAGCTAGTCTCTCTTTTGAAATTGGTAGATGTACTTTAATATTATTATTCTTCATCTCTCTTTCACTATTCCGTTTTCCTGGTAGTAGAACCTTCCTTAAACTTTAATTTAATTTCAATTAAATGACAAAAAAATAATGGAATGGATAATAACATATTCTCAATACTTATAGCGTATGAGCATGTGTAGAGGTACCATCAACTCTATTTCAAAGCTTCAAAGATGTTCAAATGAGAATGAGATCCCTACCTGGTAAGCAAGTTTGGTTCGAGCAAGATCCAAGGGGTAGGTACACAAAACTGAAGTTCCTCCTGCAGCAGAGCCTGCTAAAAGATCAATAAAAGGACCCGTTCCCAGCACAGGATAATTGTTCAAGATCCAACTTTTGTAGCGCTCATATGTCATAAAATGCAAGGCAGCATATGGAACAATGCGGATAACACTAGCTCCATTTCCTCTGAAACCACCACATGTGCAAAGGTTAACAATACATAACTTTAAAAAAGGGGAAAGAAAAAATATATTATTTAATTTGAGTATTACTTGTATAATCCTTGGAAACCTTCATGCTTCAGTATCTTATTCAAAGATTGATACACCCCAATAGAGTGAAATCCAGCTGTCCTTGTCTGTAGATAACATAAATTAAAGTTAAAAGAGAACATACACCCATAGAAGAACATTCTGAATGAGCAAGGAAGATGGCCTTTCCTTATGTTCCAGGAAGATTCTACATCCAAGATATCAACCGACCTAAGTCCATACTTATATTACATTTGTCTAGTATGATCATTATATCTAATACATATCTGATTCTCACCAATACAACACAGGATAAAACATTTAAATAAATTTACAGCAGACTCGTAACGTGAGTGATCTAGTCAAATAAGCCTTGAATCTCTTAAAATGTGAGGATAAAACATTTAAATAAATTTACAGCAGACTCATAACGTGAGTGATCTAATCAAATAAGCCTTGAATTTCTTAAAATGTGAGCTTGAAGCTGACTCAACTCTAAAAAATCGCCTCACTCTCTACTTATATACACTAGTAGATTAGGGATCTCTAACAGAATCGTGTTCAACTAAAAGAAGCAAAGTAAAAGAAAAGGGGAGAAAAACTGATGGACCTGCCAAAGTATCTTGACCCTTTCGAGGGGTGCGACGGTGGTCTTAGAAAGCGCACCAGCAAAGCCTCCGGCGATTAACTCCTTAACATAGACAGGAACGCCATCAAAACTAGATTCACTCCTCTGAATGGATGGTGCTTTGTCCACGAAACCAGCAATGGTGGACCCTTGTGAAGAATCCATTGACTCCAAAAAACAAAAATACGATCGAATTGTTAATCAGTTTAAGACTATCCACTCTGGAGCTCAGAAAACTTGTTATCCCATCTGCGTTTGGAGAAAGAGAAGTGGGTGTGTTGCAATGGGAAGGAATTGGGTGTGTTTAGAATCACAAGCCAATTCCTTTCGGGAAGAATATGAGACATCAACAGCAGACAAGTGCGAACAAAGAGACCCGTTTGGATTGCAAGGAGGAAGAGGAATTCACAGGAAAGGGGAAGGGTTTGCGTGGCAGAAGAAGCATAATCCGTTGAACAGGAAACCGTGGGTTTGGCGGAAAGGGGAAAAGGGGAACGGGTATGCGATGATGAATGAGCAGATACCCGTTCTCCTTCGAATTGGAATTAGGTTTTGATTTGAATTTGATTGGATATTTTCCCCTTTTCAACGTTGCTATTCTCTCTTCCTTATTCTCGCAATTGCCACTTGCCACTTGCCACCTTGCAATTGCATCGTATCTTTCACGTGATTTTAAAGACTATAACCTCGCTTTCAACTTTCGACACGTATCTCACACGGTTTTACGATTTGTCCATGTCATTTTAAAAACCAAAAAATTGTAATCATTTATATTTCATTCCTTAAATAAATGTATCAAAAGATAAATTCATTCCTTAAGTATAAAAAAATAACAATAATTCTTCTTGATAATAAAAAAAAAAACATTCTTTCATTTTTTTATTAAAATGGAAAAATCTGTAATTTAATTAAAATTAAACTAGTGTATTCTTTATATAAAAATTCAAATAATTACATTGAAGAAATCATTTAGGAGCTATTTAATTAAAGTATTTTTTTTAACGAAAGTATTTTTTTTGTTTAACAAGAATATCTTCGGATTTTGATACAAATCTTATGATAACTACATAATAATTTATATATCTTAACAACTTATATATCTTAACCGAACTGTTTAAGATATGAATCATTATATTTAAATATTAAATAAATTATATTAAAATAATGATATTTATTTAATGTGTACTCACAATTTTTAATGAAGATTAATTATTATTTTTAATTATAAATATTTTATACATAATTCATATATCATGAAATATTATGATTTATTTATTATTTTATTTTAAGAATAAATCGAGGAGTGAAGATTTTCTTAATAAGATCATAATAAAAACAATAGTTTAGTTTTAATTAAATTTTATTATTTATAATGAATACAATTTAAATATAATTTTAGAGGAGAAATTTCATCGGTCAAAATTAACCTTATAAGAAATTTTTTTCCTAAAATCTAAAAAATGTTGTACTAAATTTAATTAAGGTTAGTAATAGAGATTAGAGTAGTATGTAAAATCTTTATCTCCTTCAATCCTGTTCTCCTATCATTTTTCTTCTTTATTAATTTTTTTTTCTTTATCCTTCTTCCCTTTTTCTGTTTAAGTTTATTATCTTTGACTAGTATTTGAAAATATACAATACACATACATATTTATTATATATATTAAAGTTTATAATAAATTATATATAAAATCACTATATCTAATATATAAATTATTTTTAATTAATGATGTGATTGCATTTTAATAACTAAAATATTATTTACTTTTTTATGTTTTTTTTATTATAAATATATATTTTTGATGAGTACTTAAGTTTTTTTAATTTAAAATTATAAATAAAAATATTAGTTACTTTATTAAATTTATGAATGAATTTTTATAATTAATATAATAAACTTTTAAAGGATGATTAAGAGAGCAGAGAATTTTTATAATGTAGAGAGCATTTAAATTTAATATTGATGACGGCGTTGTAGTTGATTGTTGTTGTAATTTTATGACAAGAGAGCGGAGAATTTTATTTCCCAAAAGCAGGAGGCACATATACAGATAGCAAAAAGCAATTAGCAAATGTCTAGTCTATTTACTTATAATTTGGCATGGCTACTCTGATTACTCACTATGGAGAAGGAGAAGGAGAAGAAAAATGTTGAATTTGATTGAAAAATTTAAGGAGTGATGATGTTATTTTGATGTATGGTTTGAGTTTGAGGTATAGCGGATGAGAGTGCATCGGTGTCAAGGAAAGAGGCGGTGCTATGCCTTTTAGTGTGGTAGGCGGTGATTCTCTTCCCCTTTCCTTCGTAAAGCACGGCGTCACTCTCTTGATCGGGAACGCACTTTTCTCCAAGAATAATCGTTTTCATCCAAACAGACTCCTCCGCCTTCAGCTTCCCTTCAATCTTCCCCTTAACCTTCTCCTCCTTCTCCTTATGATGATGGTGCTCCCAGTTTCTGGCAACCGACAAACTCCTCGGCATTTTTATGCTCAAGCTCAACGGAGCCTTGCGTTCCGAGGTCACTCTCTTCATTCGCTCCGCGATGAACGGGTCCTTCGGCTGCAGCGCCGGTGGGAGAGGAAGCTCCTTCTGCATCTCCTTGTCCTCATCGTTTTCCGCCTCCGCGTCCGATGGCGGCGTTGCCACCGACTCAACGGGGTCGGACGAGGGGGCTGGCGGCGTGGAGGGTTTTCTTAGGAATCCTATGCCGCACATGGCGGTGATGATGGCCATGCTGGCGGCGAAGCCTGCGGCGACGAAAGAGAGGTATATGAGGGGGTGTATGAGAGAGAGGCTTTCAATGGGGACTCTTCTTCCCATCACATACATGTAATGTAAGTAACTAATCCTTTAATGCTTTTCAATGATTCCTATTTCCTCCCTCTCTTGTTCTTATTATTATGAGGACATGCACATGCTTCCAATGTCCCGAGGGAAGAATATAGGATTTCTGAGGTCAAATACCAACTTTTGGGTTAACCCCAAACCCATGCCTTTAATTTAGGGGACAGACAGACAGACAAACAAACAAACAAACACTTTCCCATTTTTGACAAACCTAAAAATATATACTGCTGCAGGGGAACCTCTCTACTCTCTCCATAAAACAACCAAAATCCAGGGAAAAAAGGATAATCAATTTAAGATTAGAGATGGCATGGCTCTAATAATGTAACCACACTTTATTCTTACTATTAATACAATCCACTTTTATCTTAAAAATAAGGCTAATTTAAATCACTCTTCACTTTTAATCTTAATTTTACTAACAAATTCTACTTACTTTTTACTTTTGTATATGAAAATTATGAAATATTGTGTAGTCATCACTTATTAAGTATTTTCGCTATTATTAGTTGGATCGAATTCCATTTTTTTTTCTTTTTATCTTTTTAGGTGAGCTTGTACTAAGAAGATATAAGCAATTCATACTTTTATTAATTTTTTTTAAAGAAATTGGTAGTTAGTTTAGGTATCGCATCAAATTATATGTTTTATCCTAATATAATTTTTTGATGTTTGAAAAACAAATGTAATATTATGTGGTCATATATGTCATTGTGTGTGAATTATATTTTTCTTATATAAAGCGTTGTGCAAAAAGAAAAACATAATATGGTCACGGCATGTCAGCATAGTCTATCCATAAAATTCATTTAAAATGAAAATGTTTTATTGTCGGGAAGTGGTTTTACCAGCAAAACTACCAACCCTTCTTGTTTATGGTATTCTTCTTCTTATAATTATAGTCTTCTACATTAATATATTTGTTTTCTCGAACCTCGTGTAGTAATAAAAAAAACCATACTCCATAGGATCCTTTGGGAGCTTTCTTCCGGGAAGGGATTGAAAAATTATAACCATTCATAAATTCCTAAAGCAGCTAGACAGTTTTTGAAACATCACTTTCAACGATATAAATTTGATTATAACCAGAATATTCATCAAGCAAGCAAACTTAAAGTTTCATTTTCGACAGTAGAATCTATCATAATTTCAACATTAGCCATTGGATATTCATCTTTAGAAGTTGCTGAATTTAAATCTCAAAAATTAATATATACTCTCATTGTTTCATTCTTTTTTATAATGGGTACCATATTTGAAATCCAATCAAGATACTTGGAAGCACGAATGAATTTAGCTTTTAGAAGTTTTTCAATTTCTTCTTTTATCTTTTCAATTACTTTAGGAGCAAATCTTCAAGGATTGTTTTATTGGTTTTTTTCCTGGAATCATTGATAATCTGTATTCAACTAATTCTTTATCTAAACTAGACATCTCTTTGTAACTCCAAGCGAAATAATCCTTGTAGTCATGATGCAAATCCTGATTTTAGATTATGTTGGAAATTAAATCTTATAATTAAGATGGTATATTAATCCTTGATTTCAAGTGGAAAGTGTGAGGAGAATGACCATGTTTATTGTAGTCTTATCGAAGGAAGAGAATGGATACATGGAATAAGAGTTGTACCTTCAACTTTTCATCAAAAAATATTCTTTTAGAATAAGGAAGGAAATTTAGTGGTGAGTAATGTTGATAAAAAATATTATGAAGTTGGGGTTTACTATGCAAATCAACAAAACACTGCCTTGGTTCAAACTAAGTCATTTGATATTAATGATCCCTATATTTCCAAGGAGGAAGAAGGTGTAATGAAGTCTTTTTGTTGGGATATCAAGGACGAATTTTCAATTAAAAGAGTCGATGTTGGATCAACTCAAAACAAGAATTAGATGGATAAAGACAATATTTATTCAAGTTTTATAGCTTGAATACCAGCCTACTTGGCTAGAGAAGAGGAATTTGGTTTGTCACGATGATCAAAAAAGAAGAAAAGTTTGTTGGAGGAGTGAAGTTTTGAAGAAATGACTTGTTTGACCAAATTAGAGAAGGAAAAGTTAGGAAATGGTTTCAAGAAAAGGAATGCTAGAATCGAAATTGAAAAGAAGAAAGGTGTGGAAGGAAAATGTGAAAATGAAAGACTAGATTCTGTTAGGATTCAAAAAACTAATACATGAAGGAATGAAAATGGGGTCTCATGACCCCTTAGAAGAAATCAATTTTAGACATGATTCTACCACTCGTGAGTCTCGTATAACATATTTAAGATTAGTAATAAAATCCCGCATGAGGGAGAAAAGGAGAATGAAGGGTGATGCGTAAAAATTGATCAACAACAGCTCATTTTCTTATTGCTGAGAAAACGATGGTATATGTACAAATGGTGCAGCAAAAAAGGTAGAAAGAGAAAAGGTACAAAAGAGAATCTGAAAATAACGGAATGAAAAATCAAAATGAGAAAGTGGCGTGAACGAAAAAGAAAAACGTGACGTGCATGAGAGACGTGCATGGGTACAGACGTGCATGAGTCATGAGAGACGTATGAGTACAGCTGTTAAGAGCCCCCCTCAAGCTGGGAGTAGATATTGGACATTCCCAACTTGGAACACAACTCTTTAAAACGAGAAAGAGATAGAATTTGTGGGTACATGAACATGTAGGATCTGGCCTAAAATTTTCCAATTCGTCCCAAATAATCCTAAGTTTTGTGAAGAACTCAGTGACAGAAAGGTCTCCCTACTGAAGGGAAGAAGCTTCATACTGCAAATCTGAAATACGAAGGAGGTCACCTTGAGAGTACCTTGATTTAAGATCATTCCAAATCTCATCAGCTTTGTCCATCCAAAGTATACTATGACGAATAGAAGGAGAAACTGAATGTACAAGCCAAGAGACAACCATATTATTACATCGACACCATGCGGAATAAGTAACATCAGACTTAGGCGGTTGTGGAGCATTCCCGTCCACGAATTCCATCTTGTTTTTGGCACTAAGAGCAGTAAGCATGGATCTACTCCATGAATGATAATTGCCTGAATCAAGAACAGGTGATACAAGCGGAGTGGCAGGATTCTCGCCAGGATGAAGATAGAGGAAACTGTGAAAAGGGGGTGTTGAATGAGTTTCGTCCTCCATAGTAATAGGAAGGAAAGAAATGAGATGAATGCGCAGCAGAGCTCTTCAATGGAAGAGCTCTGATACCATAATAAAATCCCGCATGAGGGAGAAAAGGAGAATGAAGGGTGATGCGTAAAAATTGATCAACAACAGCTCATTTTCTTATTGCTGAGAAAACGATGGTATATGTACAAATGGTGCAGCAAAAAAGGTAGAAAGAGAAAAGGTACAAAAGAGAATCTGAAAATAAAGGAATGAAAAATCAAAATGAGAAAGTGGCTTGAACGAAAAAGAAAAACGTGACGTGCATGAGAGACGTGCATGAGTCATGAGAGACGTATGAGTATAGCTGTTAAGAGCCCCCCTCAAGCTGGGAGTAGATATTGGACATTCCCAGCTTGGAACATAGCTCTTTAAAATGAGAAAGAGATAGAGCTTTGGTATAAATGTCAGCCAGTTGAGAGGAGGATGACACAGGCAGCAGTTTGAGTAAACCATTGGTCACTTTTTCTCGAAAGAGATGACAGTCTATTTCGATGTGTTTCGTTCGTTCATGAAACACCTGGTTGGATGCGATTTGGAGAGCAGATTGGTTGTCACAATAGAGGAGAGCAGGTCGAGTGAAGGAGATGCGAAAATCTTCTAAAAGATATGTGAGCCATTGAATTTCACAAGCGGTGGAAGCAAGAGCTCGATATTCTGCTTCGGATGAACTGCGTGATACAGTGGGTTGTTTCTTTGATCTCCATGAAATGAGTGAGTGTCCAATATAAACGGAAAAGCCTGTGACAGAACGTCGAGTGTCTATGCAACCCGCCCAGTCAGAATCACTGAAGGCTTTCAATTGAAGGGAGCTGTCTGCAGCAAGAAAAATGCCTTGTCCAGGGGCTTGTTTCAAATATCGAAGTATACGAAAAACAGCTTGTTGATGAGAAGATGTGGGCTGAGAAACAAATTGACTAAGATGGTGGACAGCGTGAGCAATATCATGCCGAGTGTTGGTGAGATAAATCAAGCGCCCAATTAACCTTCGATAAGAAGAGGGATCAGTCAAAGGGGTACCAGTATCAGCAGATAAACCAGTTTTATAATCCATTGGGGTGGATGATGGGCAACAAGCTAACATGCCAGTGTGAGAAAGAATATCAAGTGTATATTTACGTTGACTCAGATGAATACCAGTGTTGTTTCTAGCAACCTCAAGACCAAGAAAATAGGTTAAATCTCCAAGATCTTTGATTCTAAAAGCTTGATCAAGAAGAGTAGTGATGCGTTGTATTTCAATGAGGTTGTTCCCAGCAAGAACGATGTCATCAACATAAACTAGGAGAGCTGTACTAGTAGAATCTGTAAACTTCAAAAACAAAGAATGATCTGCAAAAGAGTGTGTATATCCATGAGTCAAAAGAAACGTTGAGAGGCGGGCATACCACTGACGGCTGGCCTGTTTGAGCCCGTACAAGGAACGATTTAGCCTGCAAACTTGTCCCGATTTAGTGGAGGGTAAACCAGGAGGAAGATGCATATATACTTCCTCATTGAGATCACCATGCAAAAATGCATTGTTGATGTCCAATTGTTTAAGAAACCAGTTATGAATTGCAGCTAATGAGAGAAGAAGGCGAACTGTAGTTAACTTAGCAACCGGTGAAAACGTGTCAAGAAAGTCATGGCCCTCAAGTTATGTGTATCCTTTGGCTACTAAGCGGGCCTTGTATCGTTCAACTGATCCATCGAGCGGGCTTTGTATCGTTCAACTGATCCATCAGCATTGTGTTTTATCTTGTAAATCCATTTGCAACCAATTGCTGTTTTGTTGGGTGGTAAAGAGGTGATAGTCCAGGTATGATTGGCTTCTAGGGCAGTGATCTCATCTTTCATAGCTTTAATCCAACAGTCATGCTTAGAAGCTTCAGCAAAGGAGTTAGGCTCGGTGGTAGTAGAAATAGATAAAATGAAATGACGAAAAGATGAAGATAAGTGAGCATAAGAAATGAAAGACTCTAAGGGATAGCGAATACCTGGAGAAGATGGTGATCCAGTTGATGTAAGTGTCACATGAAAATCTCGAAGATAGGAAGGTGGATGATGTGAACGAGTAGATCGACGAGGAGCAGGGGTTGAATGAGCAGATTCGGGTGAAGAAATAGAAGGAGAAGGCTGAGAAGTGGAAGGTGCAAGATTATGAAGATTGAAGTCAGAAATAATGTGGTCATTTGTGAAAGGTAGAGGGAGAGATGGAGTAAATGATGTAGGTTGAGCAGTATGGTCAACATAAGGAAAATGGTCTTCATAAAATATAACATTTCGAGAAACCTCAATGTTACGAGTATGAAGATTGAAGGTGAGATAGCCTTTGGTGTGGGGTTTGAATCCAAGAAAAACACAAGGGTGAGCCCTGGGATCCAATTTCTTACGGTGGGCTTTAATAGTACTAACATAACAAAGACATCCAAAGACACGAAGAGTGGTAATGTCGCATGGTTTGCCATATAATTTTTCAAAAGGGGAAATATGTTGTAAGAAAGGCGTGGTAAGGCAGTTGATGATGTATGTAGCATGCATGAGTGCAAAACACCAAAAAGAAGGGGGAAGAGCAGATTGAAAAAGGAGTGCACGGGTAACGTTTAAAAGGTGTTGATGTTTACGTTCAACAATTCCATTTTGCTCAGGAGTTTCAATGCATGTGGTTTGGTGAATAATTCCTTTGGATTCAAAATATTTATTCATGGAAAATTCAACCCCATTATCAGTTCTTATAACTTTGACTTGAGTTTCAAATTGGTTTTCAACGTAAGCAATGAAATTGGTTACACAATTACGCACCTCTGCTTTAGTTGTCATGAGAAAAACCCACGTAAATCGTGTATGATCATCAACTATGGTAAGAAAATAACGATGTCCATGTAAAGATATTTTTGAACAAGGTCCCCAAATATCAATGTGAAGTAAGTCAAAAGATTTAGATGTATGAGAATGACTCAAAGGGAATGGGAGTTTCTTTTGCTTAGCATAATGACAGGTGTTACACGTAAAGTGTTTGTTACTATATAGACATGGGTAATATTGTTTCATAGAATGTAATTTTTCATATGGCAAGTGACCCATGCGAAAATGCCACAGATCAATGGATTGAATGCTACATTCAGGATTGCAGACAGTAGAACATATAGAGGTTTGAATGGCAGCAATGGTCATGGTGTAGAGACCAACATTTACATCAACTGTACCAATCTTCTCTTTGGTTTTTAGATCCTGAATAACATAAGACGTGGAGCAAAAAATGAGTTGCACATCAAGAGAAGAAACCAACTTAGAAATGGAAATTAAATTGAATTTAAAATCTGGTATAAACAACACATCTGATAAGTAGAAAGTATCAGTGAACTTTACTAGACCGGAATGGGTAGCGAGTACTTGTTGACCTGTGGGTAGCTTGATGACAATAGGATTAATGGAACGATACGAAAAGAAATTTGAAAGGGAAGAAGATATATGATCAGTGGCTCCAGAGTCAATGACCCAAGAGGTGAGATTGTATGTGCTGGCAGAGGTGGAAAAACAATTACCTGGGGATGGTGAGGGCTGTGTGGAACATGAAGAAACAGAACCAACATGATTTATATGTGAAGAAGGAGAAGCTGAGCTGCTATTGGTTGACTGTTGTATTAAACCCATCAAGATTTGATACTGCTGAGGAGTGAAGCGATAATCCTGGTTTGGAATAGCTTGCTGTTGATCACTGGCCTTACATTCATCAGTCACCGTGTTGTTTACAATGGAAGTCTTGCCAGTCGGGGATTTGTAACCTGGAGGAAACTCGTGTTTACGGTAGCAAACATCTATAGTGTGTCCATTTCTCCCAAAGTGAATACAAATTTTACCAGACCGATTAGAGGCACCACGATTGCTTTTATTGTCATGGTTAGAAGGAAAACCATGTTTACGATAGCATTGATTCTCCGTGTGACCTGATTTACCACAGTGGGTGCATGTGAAAGATGAAGCAGTTGCATTGATTGCAGCAGTTTTTGTAATTGTATTGGCCACAAAATTAGACCCCAAAAGCTGGCGTTCCTGTTGAGTCAGATGCCATCCTGCATTTATGCATTAACACAATTAAGAGTAAGAACTTATGATCAACTTCTCTTCTCTTCTCTCTCTCTCTCTCTCTCTCTGTGCGCATGAATTAATATCTTTCATCTGCAAGTTTTATTTAAATCAAAAGGAAATATACCATTATTTTTCACTTTACACCATCTCACTTTAGAAAAGTCAAAAGTAAACTCCCTCATATAATTGTCAGGATCAAAACATCTTTATGTTGCCCTCCTACAAAGGGCTTGTAACCTTTTGATAGAATCAGCCCCTATGCCCCGATGAAAATTTCCAGAGGATGAAGTCAGACCTGTTCTCAAATAACATTGCTACTAAATTAGCATTGGAAACTAGGAAACATGTTCTGCACTGCAGCCTACAAGTTGTTTCCATGCTATGTTAGCATTGTGTATGTTGCTATACCATCTTCATATACAGTATTGAGAAATATTAGAAATTCATGAATAGTTTATACAAGTGGCGTCAGAAAGTTAATAAATTTTCATGTAAAATATGTGAACCAGAAGGAATGATCCCCAAAAATTCATGCCCTCTGATAAAGCAGCCACAGTATACAAATAACCTAGCCTGACAAAAGGGGTCTTTCTTATGGGATGAGGTTGAATCCTGAGAATGGATCAAGGGTCATTTTCCAGCTCATGTCAAATCAAGCTTTTTCTTTGGAAGATGATGAAAGTAACTGATTTAAGGTTGCTGTTTGAATGACAGCAGTTGGGCTAGGTTCCCTAATACGGGAAGTTCCAGATCTTCTAGGGCCGTAATTCTTATCGACACTGCTTTTCAGGCGTTGTGAAGAATTTCGAAGGATCCTCACTATCTTTGTTGAACCAACAAGTAAAATCACACCAAAAATAATAAGTAGCCTGCAGCAAAATATTTTTTATTATAACATGTTCCTGACATAAGAACATGATAGTAACTAGTTGCAGATGAAGCGAATTATAGAAGTCTAGAATTCATTTCTTCATAGAGAATCTTGAAAGGCAAGGAACACACATGCATAAAAGAAATAATAGCATAACATATTATATTACCATCCAAGAAGAAGTAACAGGCGAGCATTTGGGGCCGAAGGTAGTCGCTCACCCAAAGCAAGCATCCCAGCAAGTACACCGGTCAAAATTGATGCCACAGCTGCACATGTAGAAACTACAATAGCCCTCCCATGTTTTAGACCACGTGTCTGCATGTTGGAGAAGTAAACACAGAAGAAGTGAGTACATCTGAAATTGGCAGTGCAGAACTCGGAGAAATATCTAGCCAGTTCAACTGACATCCCACCTTCCCACCATCCATAGGTTAAAATGTTCCTTAAGCTTAACGGATGTAACAGTTCATACAAAAGTAAATGGTATGAAAGAGGTCTTCAGAATACCTGGTAATAAAAGCCTGTACCACTTGAGCACACACTTATCATGATGCAAATAGGAACCAACAGCTTATTGAAGCCTTGCTCCAGGAACAGAAACCCCATTTTAGATATTACAGATGCCATCCTGCATTTATGCATTAACACAATTAAGAGTAAGAACTTATGATCAACTTCTCTTCTCTTCTCTCTCTCTCTCTCTCTCTCTGTGCGCATGAATTAATATCTTTCATCTGCAAGTTTTATTAATTGCCAACGGAAAGTATTGGACCTCAATAAAAACTGATCTTTATGTTGCCCTCCTACAAAGGGCTTGTAACCTTTTGATAGAATCAGCCCCTATGCCCCGATGAAAATTTCCAGAGGATGAAGTCAGACCTGTTCTCAAATAACATTGCTACTAAATTAGCATTGGAAACTAGGAAACATGTTCTGCACTGCAGCCTACAAGTTGTTTCCATGCTATGTTAGCATTGTGTATGTTGCTATACCATCTTCATATACAGTATTGAGAAATATTAGAAATTCATGAATAGTTTATACAAGTGGCGTCAGAAAGTTAATAAATTTTCATGTAAAATATGTGAACCAGAAGGAATGATCCCCAAAAATTCATGCCCTCTGATAAAGCAGCCACAGTATACAAATAACCTAGCCTGACAAAAGGGGTCTTTCTTATGGGATGAGGTTGAATCCTGAGAATGGATCAAGGGTCATTTTCCAGCTCATGTCAAATCAAGCTTTTTCTTTGGAAGATGATGAAAGTAACTGATTTAAGGTTGCTGTTTGAATGACAGCAGTTGGGCTAGGTTCCCTAATACGGGAAGTTCCAGATCTTCTAGGGCCGTAATTCTTATCGACACTGCTTTTCAGGCGTTGTGAAGAATTTCGAAGGATCCTCACTATCTTTGTTGAACCAACAAGTAAAATCACACCAAAAATAATAAGTAGCCTGCAGCAAAATATTTTTTATTATAACATGTTCCTGACATAAGAACATGATAGTAACTAGTTGCAGATGAAGCGAATTATAGAAGTCTAGAATTCATTTCTTCATAGAGAATCTTGAAAGGCAAGGAACACACATGCATAAAAGAAATAATAGCATAACATATTATATTACCATCCAAGAAGAAGTAACAGGCGAGCATTTGGGGCCGAAGGTAGTCGCTCACCCAAAGCAAGCATCCCAGCAAGTACACCGGTCAAAATTGATGCCACAGCTGCACATGTAGAAACTACAATAGCCCTCCCATGTTTTAGACCACGTGTCTGCATGTTGGAGAAGTAAACACAGAAGAAGTGAGTACATCTGAAATTGGCAGTGCAGAACTCGGAGAAATATCTAGCCAGTTCAACTGACATCCCACCTTCCCACCATCCATAGGTTAAAATGTTCCTTAAGCTTAACGGATGTAACAGTTCATACAAAAGTAAATGGTATGAAAGAGGTCTTCAGAATACCTGGTAATAAAAGCCTGTACCACTTGAGCACACACTTATCATGATGCAAATAGGAACCAACAGCTTATTGAAGCCTTGCTCCAGGAACAGAAACCCCATTTTAGATATTACAGATGCCATCCTGCATTTATGCATTAACACAATTAAGAGTAAGAACTTATGATCAACTTCTCTTCTCTTCTCTCTCTCTCTCTCTCTCTCTGTGCGCATGAATTAATATCTTTCATCTGCAAGTTTTATTAATTGCCAACGGAAAGTATTGGACCTACGTGCATGGGTACAGACGTGCATGAGTCATGAGAGACGTAAGAGTACAGCTGTTAAGAATTAGTTCAATTATGTTTGACACACAAACGTGACCCAGTGGAGGTGCCAATTTGTTTTAAGAGGATTTCATTCAATAGATTCTTTATATTCGAATTAGCAATTTTAACTTAAATATGTTTAACAAATTATGATTTCTATGTATTATTTAACTATTATAATGAGATTTAAATCACATAGAGTAAATATTAAAATGACTAAATGATTAACATTAATATTAATCGAAGAAATCATATCAAAAACATTAATGGTAAGGAGAATAAAACGAGAAAAGAGAAGAAAAATTTGTATGTACTATATTAAATAAAAATAAAGAAATAGTACAAAAGTACATACAAGCATCTCTTAAAATTGAAAAATTATGAGAGTAAGCAAAGTGATGTATATAGTGGCGGAACTTGAAAAAAAAATTTAGGGGTGCCAGATTATATTTTTTATATATATAAAATTATAAATTAATTTTTTTATTAGTTAAAATAATAATAAAATTTCTCTTTTTTTAACTTAATTTTTTTAGTTTTATTATAATTAATGATATAATAATATATAGATATAATATATATATATATAAAAGATTTAGAAAAGTTTGGGAGAGTCGTGACTCCCCCTGTCACTACTAAGATCCGCCGCTGGATATATAGAGGTCTATATGAAGCGTTTAAGATTTAGGGTATTGAAAGAGAAAAATTTTAGTCATGTTCTTACTCTAGCTCATGTTTTGATTTGAGTATTTAAAGAGAAAAACCTAAATTGATCATTCAATATTGACTTTGACATATATACAACTTGAATAATCACTTAAAATTGATAGAAACTTCTCTAACTTCCTCCTCTTTGATGCTGGAAATTTATGTGTTTGTCCCTTTTTACCCACTTCCAAGTAACTATTTTTTTGAACTTTTTCTTTAATATGTCAAAAATTTACGTATAACACAACGCAAGAATATAGTTAGAAAATAATAGTAGTGGGGTAGAAATAGTAAATGACTAAGTGATAGAAAAGGACTAAGCTACGCTAGGTAGAAGTAGAATGGCTGTGAAATTAAAAATGGCTCGGCAGCACCCTCGTCCATTAGTGGGACATGAGGTTCAATTTTGGATGTTTCCTCTTCTTTCACCCTTTTTGTAGTGCTACATATACCAACACGTTCGTGCATTCTCATGACGTGGATATCTCTCTTTCCTACACTTGCCAATTTTTGTTTAACCCAATGCTATTGCTAGGGTCACATTACTTAACCAATTAATTCAATCAAAATTAAACGTACCAAACGCCTATAATCTTTTAGTTAATTACTTAAAAATATTTGGACCATATAATAAATCATGACATGGCTGACTTGTTTAAGGACCCTAATTCATTTTAAATGATATGACCACCATAAATCTTCTTAGAAAATTTACTAAAAAATTTAACATATATACATGTTGTTTCTAAATAAGAGAAGCAATTCAATTCCAGCAACCCATGTCGATTTAAAGTACGTATATTTCAATATTCTAAAAAAAAATGGTACATGTATTTCACTAAAAATAAAGTCTTGCATTGCATGTGGTCCATGAATTAGCGAAAAGAAAATATGAAGGCATCTCTTTGGAATAGCTAACAAACGAGAGGATGAAATTTATTCGATGCCTCACGGCAACTAGTGCGACCATAACTGTTTCCTACATATTTCTTTCTCTTTTTCACTTTTTCAAGCTATATTTCTATCTATCCTTATTTGATTTGTTTTCGTCCTTTTTTTGGCAAATCTCTTTTGGATGTTCTAAACTTCCAATTATGTCTCATACCCTTCTTAATTCATCACAGACTATGACATATCTCCGGGTAAATAAAAAAACTATCCAAATAAAATATCACCGTTTTTCAATAAAACCGAGAAAACATCATTATTATAGTTTTTGAAGGGGAAACAGAATTCTCAAAAATCACGTATCAACATGGTTGAATAATTTCATTATAACTATTATTTAATTAAAAACATCCTATCACTGTTCAAACTTTTGAACTCCGCTCTGCTGGAATTCTTAAACAAACACGAGTTGACAATGATAAATAATGTATCTCGTTGATTATCATTTACCTTTTTAACCCTATATTTATTTTGTTACTACGTTGTAGATAAGGAATTTTATCAAAAAAAATGTGATTGTCCATTTTTAATTGGTCTCCTATCTTAACTATGTCCTTTTCATTTGAATATTCAAATACAAAACTAAAAATTCAAACCTAATTTTAGTCGGAGCAACTTAGAATATAAGCATATTCACTATATTATATTATTGCGTGTATATAAAATGAGAATACGACACATTAATCTCGAGTATAAAATTCCACAAAACAGTCAATTTTAGCTCCTTTTACAAGAAGATACCCTGATAAAATGAATGGTGATGTAGGATTATATGATCGGTTAATGAAGCACATAGAATAGAACCCTAAATTTGGCTATTGTGACAGTGTGAATTAATAGTAGTACTGTGTATATTAAAGTTTACAAAGCCGACAAAAAGACGTAGGATTGGAAAAGAAATAAGAGCATGTTGTGGGGTGGGCGTGCTTTGCTCACAAAAAATGAGTCCGATTTCTCTTACATCCTCTATCTCTATTTAGGATCACCCCTTGCAACAAAGTTTCTGGCTTTTCTCCATAGCTCTAAAAGTTATTAGAGTAAAGCTAAATAATACTATAGCGTTAAGGGTTCTCTCTTCTTTATTTTGTTTCTTCTTCGAATGAACTGAAAACCCGCAAAGAAAGCATCGATTTTGAATGGAGGAAGGGTACCCCAGAAGCAAGTTCAAGACGGTGTGTGTCTTCTGTGGCAGCAACTCTGGCAACCGGCAAGTCTTCAGTGATGCTGCGATTCAATTGGGCAATGAACTGGTTCGTAGTTTTATTTTGCATCACTCTTCACTGTCCTATTCTCTTTTTCTCAAAAAGTTTAAGGATTTTTACATGGCCTCAGAGCACCTCCTCTGTGTTGCTTTCTTCACTTTTCATGTATTATGTTCTGCATACGTAAAGAGCTCTTGTTTTCTATGATGATACTTGTTAAAGACCACTCTTTTTTTTTTGTTTGTGGGGTGTCTTTTTTTATTTTTGTTTTTTTGATAGGTTTATCAAATTTTGTAGGAATGCATTTTGTGCTCTGCATACACATAGTGAAGAATTCATCATCATCATCTTTTTTTTTTTTCTTTCTTTTTTTAATATTATAACTATATGGCGTGAATTACAGGTTAAGAGGAACATAGACTTGGTGTATGGTGGGGGCAGTGTTGGGCTAATGGGCTTAATATCTCAGAGAGTGCATGATGGAGGCTGCCATGTCCTAGGGTATGTGTATAATAAAAAAAGAAAATTACTTTTTAGTGTTACTGATAATTGATCACATTGTCTCATCATTTGTTTGTTTCTTCTTTACATTTTACCCTCACTCCACGTACAGGATCATTCCAAAAGCTCTCATGCCTCTCGAGGTATTTGTGTCACCACCTGAGCAACTTCTTTATTGATATTCAATCATTTTGTTCATTTTTCTGTCCACATGCAGTAAATTTGATCAATTGATTTATTTATTCCTGGGATTCAGTGTTATCATGATATCATCACCAACAATGCATTATTGGCATATAGTAGTAGCTTCTTTTAGCGCATATTTGGATTTAATTGGGAGAGCTGAAAAATGCTTTTATTCTAAAAAAGCAACAATTTTTTCCTTTTTCATTTTATGCATTGAAATTCGGGAATGTGCATTGAAATTTCTAAAAGCACTTTCTCAACTTTTATCCGAACATAGCCTTATTTGGCAGCAGCAGGACTTATTTATGGTTGCTATTTTTAATAATGTCCCCTATGCCATGGAAAAATTTATAGATGCTTGGGTGGAGAAAATATGATTATTGTGAATTGTGAATAATTTGTTGTCGGGAAATTTTGACAGATATCTGGTGAAACAGTAGGTGAAGTGAAAATTGTTTCAGATATGCACGAGCGTAAAGCTGCAATGGCTCAAGAAGCTGATGCATTTGTTGCTCTCCCGGGTACTTTTGCTTCAAATAATTTTAAAAAAAATAATTGATGATTACATGTCTTGTACATGTGGATGCCACTAAAATTATTCTTAATTATACGGAAATTTGTTTGTATTATTGTTGTTTTGGAATTTTGTATTGATTGTATAATATGGACTCTCACTGTCCTTATAATTAGGAGGATATGGAACCATGGAAGAGCTATTGGAGATGATAACTTGGGCCCAACTTGGAATTCATAAAAAGCCGGTAACATTGTATTTTTACTGTGTAGTACAAAATCCTTAACATAACAATCAAATGTTAACTCAATATTATCCCGCACAGGTTGGTCTACTGAATGTTGACGGTTACTATAACTGTTTGCTTGCATTATTTGACAATGGTGTTAAAGAAGGCTTCATTAAGCCTGGTGCACGGAATATAGTTGTCTCTGCTCCATCAGCCAAAGAACTTATGATGAAGATGGAGGTGTAATTTCAACTAGTCTTTTCCCCCTTACCCTTGTAAAAGAAACACATCAGAAATGTGTGCATATAAATTTGTGTTCAAATTTGTGAATTAATCCTTTGAAGATTAATTAATGGTAGATTGGTTTACTAGTGTCATGAGGAAAAATTAATTGAACATTATCATTATTATAACGTGCTAATATTCTACAATCAAAGTCAAATTGGTCACTTTAAGGGCTAATATGTGAAATCTATAATAAAGCATGGATTTATGACATTTTGCATGACTTATAACTTGGACTACTAAGAATAGATTGGAGGTCATTTTTTTTCTTCTTATATTCAATTCTCCCCCCTTATGCACTTTTGTTGTGTGACAATTATCAAGTAGGACTTTGCTGCCTTTTCTCCCTTAAGCACTTTGTTGAGTGATTGTTGTCATTTAGGACTTTACTTCTTATGTGGCAATCGTAAGCATGAAGGCTTCTAGGATATATGACTTTTTAATTTTAAACTCTCAAAATGGTCATACACATTAATAATTTCAAAGGGACTGTCTTTTCTCTTTTGTCTTATTTCCTTTAGTGGATAAAAGAAGTGTACAAATTACTGTGATGAGCATGAATTGTTGCTGACTTTTCCTTTTTTGCAGCATTACACTCCTTCACATGAACATGTTGCCTCTCATGAGAGCTGGCAGATGAAGCAATTAGGTAATTATCCAGGACGAGAAGATGCAGAGTGAGAGTGTTATTGATGGAATGTTTTTCTCCAAAATTGATTTATGATGTGATTCTTCATCATTTGAGATGTATACAAGAGCCTGCATAGATGGGGCCATATGTTGTTTGTTACCGTGTACTACGTTGTTGTTTTTATGACTGGAGTGCTAATGCTAATACATTTGCTATGCTGCTTTTCTTTTTTCTTCCATTTAATGGTCAATTGATTCTCTGCGAGATGGTCATATCTGGTTGTTACCACTCATTAAAGCCAAAAGTACTTCCAAATGGAAAGAGATGATAAGCATTTCGTGAGCACAATTTCAGTTGTGCCTAATGGGTTGGCTCCACTTTGTATTGTTTTAATTAGACAAGATAGGTTAATCAAGGACAACTTACAATTTTGGCCAACCTCAACATTGTTGGATGTTTATATCTTTTTTAGCGGTAATTATAACTATTCTTTGCCAAAGATAAATTATATTTGAGTCAAATAAAATCAATGAGTGATATAATTCTTTCGAAATATATAATATAACTAAATATAAAGAGTTCAAATTTGATTCTATTAATTAAATTAAAATAATTTCATATTGATTTATGTGACACTTATTCTCATCATATTTAGAATTAACTTTTTATAATGATTTATTATTAAATTTTGCTAATAGAATTTTTCTTGAAAAGGTTAATAAAATCTAGGGATGATTGAATGAAATACACATTAATTTTTATTTTATTAACAAGCATGTTCAAAAAAAGTTATTACCTAAACACTATATCTCTTTAATTATATCTTCCATAAATAATTATTAAAATATATTTTTTAGGTTCATCCCTGGAATATTCAGGGTCGACAGCGGTGACTAATCTCCTAGAGGCACCTCAAAGGGTGGGATAGCTGGTCTTAAGATTTAACGCGGCTGCATCCATAAGGATGGATTCGAACCCCTGACCTTGGGTAAGCGTGGATCAACCCCTACCGCTGAATCACACACTTGGGTTATTTTTAGTAGCAATTTATTTTATACTATTGTAAAAGTTTAATAATGATTATTAATTATTAGAATATTTTATCCAAAATTTTCCATTTTCTTTCCTTAGAGGATTAATCGTTATTAGATTTTTAATTTTATTAATCAAATTAGTTTGTGCCTCTATTTGATTAATATTTTTGCTAAAAAATAAAATATATAATATATTTGTTTTGATATAATATGTGAAAAAAATAAATAATTACTAATTATTAAAATATTTCAATCCAAATTTTTTTCTTTAATTTTGATGTATTTATTTTGATATAATATGTACAAAATATTTTAGTTATTATTATTGATTTTGTACATTTCTTTTGGATAAATCGATAATTATGTATTATTTTATTTTATTTTGATAATAAACATTTATATAAAAAGATTTTAAAAGGAGTTTTAGAGAAAGAAAGTTGAGAGTTTTGGAGGAAAAGGAATAATTACGGAACTCGTTTCCTTTATATATATTATAGTATTAATAGATATATAATGATAATACATCTACTCTCAACCATTATTAATTTTCACTTTATTAACGTGATTTATCCTTTTCTTTCACTTTTGCACAATTTTTTTATTAATGAGCTCTTTTGAATTGTAATTGGTATAATAATGTATTGACCTAAGTTATTTATTTTTTTTACATTTTACTTTTTATTTCAATAAAATATACATAGGTATGAATTCCACTAGCACATAATAATGACATTCAAGTTTATAATTAACCATATATAAAATAGTTGGATAAGGATTGAAACGTAATTGCCTATGCCTTTGACTAAGTAACGAGGGTTGAGTAACAGAAGTCGTAACAGAAACAAAAGAAAGAAGCCGTTAGTCATTATAATTAAATCAAGTCTAAGCAAGCTAAAACGTCACTAAACACAGGATGCGAATTAATAAATTGTTTACATAGAAAAATAGTAGAGATCCAAGTTGTTGAAATAACATTTTTCACAACTTGATATAACTGAGAATATGCCAAAATATTTTTTAGTTTAAAAAATTATTTTTTAAGAATATTTTATATATGTTTCAAAATTTTAGGATATTATTTAAATTTAAAGATACTAATAATTTATTTTGATTATTTTATGATATTTTTCCTTTTTAAGAATATATATTATCAATAATTGATTTTCTTTTTATTGTGGTTTATCACTCTATATAGAACCCAAAAATAAAGACTAAATAAACTTCTCTGCATAATATAGCTCTTCTATTTTTTTTAAAAGAAAAATAGCTTAATAGAAGAGGAAGAGGAAAACTAATTAATTACTCAAGATAGTGAGAGAGAGAGAGTATTAAATCAAGTAATCAACCGTTATGAATGCTACAAATTGCATGATTATAAATGGAGAGGTGCATTTTTTTTTAGAGTTAATCACCTGTCAGTATAAAAAAATTTTACACTGGCAATCAATTATATCTCTTAATTGTATTATATCACTGTAAACACATTTAATTTTAACAGTGACATGACACAATTAAGAGATATAATTAGTTGTTAGTGTAAAAAAATCTTATACTAACAGTATATAGGTGATTTAACTTTTTTTTTTTATCAATAGAGAGATGCATATTTAATGCACAACGAAAAGAATTTAAATGGAAAATTTGCTGACATGAAAAAAAGTATATGCTAATAGAATTGTTGAAGTATCAAGTTATGGTCTATGTAAACCTCTTTTGCTTTTGCTTTTTTTTTTTTTTTTCATGTTGCTACTAATGACAATCCCGTTTGAGAATCAGATAGGATTACTACCAAGTATTAATGACAAAATTCAGTCTCCAAATGCTTAACCAATTGTTTTAATAGACTGGTTTATTCTTCTTGAATAATAATATTTTGAATATGTCCAATGTTAATGGTGCAAACATACTCATTTAAAGATACTGTCTCAGAGCATTATTCCATACCTGTTTCCATGATTAAATTATTCAAAATGAAAGCAATGCAATTTGTCAATTTGATGGAACAGACTCCGATGATGGAGTTTGAAAAAAGAAAGAAAATTATAGTTTTTGAACTATGATATTCAAAGTACAACCACCCTTTGTACTCTGCATGTAGTAAAATATGGAGAGGGTGACATAAAGTTGTCAAAGAGCAAATAGTTATGAATTATTCTGAAGTCTATCCAATATAGTAATTTTACTGACATTAACTATAGAAATTGACTCTTGTATATGGTGAATGAATTTGTGAGGCATGTTTTGAGTATGGGAATTGCAATTGCATGAGACATGAATCGTGAAGGAACAAATGAACAGGAGCTGCATTGTATGGTTCAATGGTTGTTTGTTTCCCTTTGATGAGTCATTCCACTGTCTTTTTGTGTCGGCTAAGTCCCCTTTCGTTTGGTCTGGTCACGAGTCTCATGATGCCTATAAGAGATTATGAGTGGTGTGTTTGCATTATGGATTTTCACTGCACAGTACACCCCGCGTCTTAGTCCTAGTCCTTGTCGTGGTGGACCAACTCTTATGGTTGAATCACAAGATAAAGCCCAGTGGAGAGTGCTATTACTCCCTTCACCCTCACAGTCACGGGTCCCTCTTCCCTTTCTTCTTTCATCATCATAATTTCTTTCCTGTTCTCTTCAAATCCTCTTAAACTGTTTACAACACCCACTATCTGAGGATTGCATAGGTATTCAACTGTACATTTTAGAAACTGAGATTAAACCTAACTAAATTTTACAAAATTCACTTATAAAATAAATATTGTCTCTATTTATATATTTTATTATGGTCATATCATTGATTCCGATATTTTGTGTTCTTGGGGTCCCTACCATTCTACCATTGCTCATTGCTCATGTTCAATCAACTTGTGTCACTCTTCGGATAAACTTTGGTCAGTTGAAGCTCCTTGAACCTCGTGATTCGCAGTGTGAACCAATGAGAGGGTAATGATGTTGAAGACACCACTTCCTTTTGCGTTGAACATTCAAAGGAAAGTTATTAAATGCTCGGAGCATGAAATTCCTTCTTACTATACACTCTTTAATGCGTGCCACTTCATCTAAAGTGTTGAACATATAATTGGAATAAGAAGCAATAATAACCAAGTTTATGAGGTAGAGAGCACCTTACTCATTTGTGACGGTTTAAGATCGAAAATAGTCTTGACAACTGACATGTGAAACGTGTCGAAGAACTGTTAGACAAACACGGGGACCCCCCTCCCCCTCCAAGAAAAAAAATACGTATACTTTTTGAAACTCAAAACACGCACTGAAGGATGAAATGAAATAAGTGCACAAAGTAGAAGCCTTCCGATCCAAGAGGATTTCTCAAATTGTCTCACTTAATTAAGGATGATTTGTAGTAAACAATGTATTAACTCGTGTAGATACTACCAAAAATTACGAACTACAAAGTAACAACCAAGATTTTCATTTATTTCATCCACCCTGCTTGAATTTTATGTATTCTTTTTTGCTGTAGAAAAAATCCTTCTGTTTGGATCTCTACTTTCAGTCTTCACGTACGATGAGCCTTTTTTTTTATTATTTATTTATTTATTTATTATTATTATTATTATTATTATTAAGAGAGAAATTCTACGGTAGCTTGAAAATTTAAAGGATTTTAAAACTGTTTTTATTTTATTTTTTTAAATAATATATAAACATTTGATGTTTTAGAATAATTTGATTATATTTATTATTTTCTTATATTTATATATATATATATATATATTACATGAAATATTTGAATTTATTAAGGATATTTTTTTTATATATATATATTATGAGTCATGATAAATTGGAATTTTTCATGCAAAACAAATTGAATAAAAAATTCACAAAATCTTCCTATACTTCGACGAATAAATTTTTATTATGTTTTTTTAAGTTATTTTAATTTTTACAAAATGATTTAAAATATTTGGACTAATATTTAGTGAAAAAAAAAAGAGAGTAAGTTAATTACTTAAATTATCTATTTGTCAATAATAAATCACTTAGTGTAGAGAGAAAAAAAAAAGTAAAAGTGAAAAAAAAATACACTTTAAGTCATTTTTATTAATTTTAAAAATTGGTTGTACTAAAACATCTTAATTTAAAAAGAATATCATAACAACTCCTTATTACTACCACTACTACTATTATTATTATTATCTTTCTAATTAATTTCTGATAAATAAAAAAATGTTTGTGACTTCATCTGACCTTATCATGTAGAGATTTTTATGACAAGACACTGTTACATGGCATCGCGTGATGGAACTAGATAAACGTTTTTATAATTAAAGGACAAAAAACAAAAGATTTAGACAATTTAGGAACCATAAACAAATATAAATTACAAAAAAACTTAAAGCAAAAACTGATATATTTACAAGAAAAAAAGATATTTAAACCTTCCATATTTTATTACTTCCACTTAAGCAAAAGTCATTAAATTCCAAAGCTTATTTTCAAGTTTCTAATTTCTCATTTATTTCCTATCTAAAGTCTCTAACATATATGCTCATGGCTGAAAGCTTAAAAACTAAAGAGAGCAGGCATTTTACTTTTTCCTTAGAAGTATACATTTTTCTATTAATTGAATCATGACCTGATCATCTGCATGAATGATCTCGGCTTGAAACTTATACTATCAAATGAATTTCATGTTTGATTTCTCTAAAGTAAAAGAAAGTGCAACCATCAAGGGAAAAAAAAAAAAGGTAAAAGAATATGTAAACTGAAAAGGCAACAACAATATATCTACTCTTGATTTAAATCAAAACACCTCACAATCTCAACTTTAAATCAAAAGGAAATATACCATTATTTTTCACTTTACACCATCTCACTTTAGAAAAGTCAAAAGTAAACTCCCTCATATAATTGTCAGGATCAAAACATCTTTATGTTGCCCTCCTACAAAGGGCTTGTAACCTTTTGATAGAATCAGCCCCTATGCCCCGATGAAAATTTCCAGAGGATGAAGTCAGACCTGTTCTCAAATAACATTGCTACTAAATTAGCATTGGAAACTAGGAAACATGTTCTGCACTGCAGCCTACAAGTTGTTTCCATGCTATGTTAGCATTGTGTATGTTGCTATACCATCTTCATATACAGTATTGAGAAATATTAGAAATTCATGAATAGTTTATACAAGTGGCGTCAGAAAGTTAATAAATTTTCATGTAAAATATGTGAACCAGAAGGAATGATCCCCAAAAATTCATGCCCTCTGATAAAGCAGCCACAGTATACAAATAACCTAGCCTGACAAAAGGGGTCTTTCTTATGGGATGAGGTTGAATCCTGAGAATGGATCAAGGGTCATTTTCCAGCTCATGTCAAATCAAGCTTTTTCTTTGGAAGATGATGAAAGTAACTGATTTAAGGTTGCTGTTTGAATGACAGCAGTTGGGCTAGGTTCCCTAATACGGGAAGTTCCAGATCTTCTAGGGCCGTAATTCTTATCGACACTGCTTTTCAGGCGTTGTGAAGAATTTCGAAGGATCCTCACTATCTTTGTTGAACCAACAAGTAAAATCACACCAAAAATAATAAGTAGCCTGCAGCAAAATATTTTTTATTATAACATGTTCCTGACATAAGAACATGATAGTAACTAGTTGCAGATGAAGCGAATTATAGAAGTCTAGAATTCATTTCTTCATAGAGAATCTTGAAAGGCAAGGAACACACATGCATAAAAGAAATAATAGCATAACATATTATATTACCATCCAAGAAGAAGTAACAGGCGAGCATTTGGGGCCGAAGGTAGTCGCTCACCCAAAGCAAGCATCCCAGCAAGTACACCGGTCAAAATTGATGCCACAGCTGCACATGTAGAAACTACAATAGCCCTCCCATGTTTTAGACCACGTGTCTGCATGTTGGAGAAGTAAACACAGAAGAAGTGAGTACATCTGAAATTGGCAGTGCAGAACTCGGAGAAATATCTAGCCAGTTCAACTGACATCCCACCTTCCCACCATCCATAGGTTAAAATGTTCCTTAAGCTTAACGGATGTAACAGTTCATACAAAAGTAAATGGTATGAAAGAGGTCTTCAGAATACCTGGTAATAAAAGCCTGTACCACTTGAGCACACACTTATCATGATGCAAATAGGAACCAACAGCTTATTGAAGCCTTGCTCCAGGAACAGAAACCCCATTTTAGATATTACAGATGCCATCCTGCATTTATGCATTAACACAATTAAGAGTAAGAACTTATGATCAACTTCTCTTCTCTTCTCTCTCTCTCTCTCTCTCTCTGTGCGCATGAATTAATATCTTTCATCTGCAAGTTTTATTAATTGCCAACGGAAAGTATTGGACCTCAATAAAAACTGACAAATCTAATTAAACTAAGGTTCAGAATTCACAAATAAAAATACTGTAAGCAGTTAATGTAAAATTGCCATATTTTTAGATGATGATAATTAACAAAAAAAAAGATCATTTAGCTATGATCGGAAAGGAATGATCACATTAAGGCACCTGTTTACGCCTACATATGTTATGAAATAAAGTTGTGTCTATGATCTTTGTGCATGTGTAATCTGCTGATAATTGTTTTGAAGGAAATTCCAATTCTGGTAGACACTTATACAGAAAGAAAGGACAGTTTTAATGCATTTTTTGCTTCTTTGGCTCTTATTGCGTTTTCTTTTCTTCTCTTTCTACACGTTGTTCTACACGTTCTTTTCTTCTTTTATTCTCTACAAAGCATTATTTATTAAAAAGAGAAGAAGAAAAATTGACACGTACAGGTAACATCATCAAAGATAAAACTCTGAAAAGTTAAGTCTCGTCATCTTCATCCATATATTAAGGAGTTGAGGTAAATAAAAGAAGTGAAATATGTTCATCTAAGAGCACAATATATAAGTATAGTAGGGAAGTGTGTACCCAAACAAAATTCCAGACTCCAAGCCATAAATAATTTCCTCAACAACATCATATTCCATCTGCATCACTTAAAAATGTCAAGCAATAGAAGAAGAATAAAGGACTTTATCTCAGTCGATAACCATAAAAGGTGTAAACATGTGAGAATGAAGATAGCACATCATGAATAGAACATTAATTACCATCTCTTGTTCTCTTCGATGACGTTTGCATATACGAAGCCATCCATTAAGCAATAACTGTACAAGTGTTTCCAACAATTAGAACAGTAACTATTTCAAGAGGATAGTAATGTTACTTTGTTGCACCAATGACCTCATGAGCTTTAAAGAAATTAAGCCAATAAAAATACTGTTGCTATTAATTAAATAATGCATCAACCAGAAGTCTGGTAATCATGCAATCAGTTTTGTGAAAAAATAAATCATAATGCTGCATAACGCAATCAATTCCAAAGAGACCAGAGTATATCTTCCTATTGACTTCAAAGAAAGTTGGACACTAATGGACCAAAGCATAAGACAGGGTACCTACAAACAAGATGAAAACAACAGATGCCAGCCACGGTATGTGAAAAATAGATAGAGCAGCAGCCTCTTGCTCCTCGCCTCCAGCACCAACTCCTAAATATAAAAGAGGATACAATAGTTAACAAATTGGAAACATGAATGTAATATATCAGTAGAATGACACATATGAGGCCAGCAACTGACTGCAAAGTTAACTTTATTGGCAGCCAGGTAAAAAATAAGGAAAAATCCATGAAATCTGAATCTATTGCTCAGCTACACGACACAAGTGCTAACTGAACCATACAGAACAATAAAATGGTTGCACTATCACATTTACAGTTACTCTCATCATAATAAACAAAATGAATTCTCAATAAATGAAAAATATTTTTTTGTGAGGGATAGACCAATGGAAATAGAAAATAGATTGTTTTATAATTACTTCAACAACCATGTTCCTTGCTATGTTAAAGGAAGTAAAAGCAGTTAAACTAAACACTCTTTACTTAGGCAATCTAAACTTAAATTACCTATTGTACCAAAACCTGCCAAGGTAATGCCCACCCAATCAATAATATTCATGACTTCCTTCAGATAAAAATGAGAAAAGACCGAAAGAATTGCCAGTCCACAGCCCGAAACTGGTTGGATGACAGAGACCTAAATCAGAAAAACAACCAAATTACACATTTCAAAAATCAAGACAAGAGACTAGAAGACCCTGCTGATGATAAAGAAATATCCCTTAGTTTTCTTCTACATTATTTTTTGATTATAGGCATGAACAGAGCACTTACAGGAGCCAGAGCTAATGCCCTTAGCATCAACAGTGCCCCAAATATATCCATTAGAAAACCTATCACCCAGGTTGTGTTCAAAGCATATGCCCTTATGACCTGCAACACAAAATTGTCAAAAAAATCCCAAAAAAAGCTATGTTAGTCCTGAATTAAACAGTGACTTCTGGCTTCATATGCTTCAACGAAAAATGGGATCTTTCCCCAATTCTCCTCCACCCAAAATCCCAAGCTCATAGAAACGCACGTGCATGTACTCAATTTCACCATTCCAAAAAGATCGAACCGTACAAATTCGAAGGTGCATTCGCATCGAAGAAAAGCACATGCATATGTATGAATTCGTATAGTTATCCTCAAAGGAGAGATTTTGAACAGGAATCAAATCATGGGCATGAGAAAAAGAAAAGAAAAAAAAAAAAAAAAAAAAAA